CCTGCTGGGGCTAGCTGGGAGGGGCGGGGGTCAGGCGGACGCCCTCGGGGCCGGGGTGGGGGGGCGTGGAGGGCCGTAGTGACTGGGTGAGGGAAGGAGAGGGGGAGGAAGACGGAAGGGTGAGAGCTGAACCTCAGGAAAGACTGAGGCCTCTTCCAGGTGAGAGGGGAGAAGATGCCCCACGTGCGCTGGCCCAGACCCTGGCTTCCAGCCTGGCCCCCGCACGGAGCTGGTGCTCCCTAGGAGGAGAATGAATGAACGCCCTGCATACCACAGCCCTCCAGCCTTGGGGAAGCTCCTGGTCACATATGCAGCCAACAGTACTGCCACTTGCTGGGCTCCTCAGGACACAGGGCAGGAGAATGGGTCATAGCCCCATCCCCAGGAAGCCCCTGGCTTGGTGGTACACATGGGCACAGACATAGGTGGGAGTCAGACCGCAGGTGCAGAGGGCCGGGCTGCCAGCCACAGGCGGTCCAGGCCTGCCCTGTGGGCTGTATGCTGGTCACCTGCCACCGCGCTCAGTACCATAGTGGCTGGACAGCCTCCTGTGCCTGCTCTGCCCAGGGGGCCCCAGGACCAGCAGTGAGCAAGGCCCTTCCCTTTGGAACTCTGGGGCAGGGAGACCACGATAACCGATAGCCGTGCTGCTCTTTGCTGGGCTTGCAGGTGGGGAATCACCTGCTCCACTCTCCGCCTGTGTCACAGGTGAGGAGTTGCCTGCTCCACCTTTCCACCCGTGTCACAGGTGGGACCCTGAAGCTCAGACCAGGGACTGCTCCAGACCACACAGCAAGATTGTGCTTGGCCCACTCTAGGGCATGGGAGGCCTGGCACAGTCTGTAGGAAGCCCAGAGGAGCCCCCCACCCCCCTATTGCTTGTCACCCGGGGAGGTGCCACCTGGAGATGGCATGGCAGACTGGACTCTTGAGTAGCCGAGAGCCTGTCTCATCTCCTGTCCCTTATCAAGCCCAGGGGCTAAGGCCTTCCTCCCAGTCTCTGGGGGCATCTGCTGATTCTGTTGTGCCTCGTCATCCAGCCAGGGAGGAGGGCTGGGGAGAGCCTGGCCAGGCCTCCCTCCCTAGGGCTCTAGGCGGTACAGGCCTTGCCTGCACAGGACACTGCCTTGCCTGGCCTGGCCAGAGAGGGTGGGCGCCTTCGGACACGTGCTGTCAGCCCACGGGCAAGGCACAGGGCACAGTCAGACCGGGGACTGGCGCTTCTGCTGGCAAGCCCTGACCCCTGCCTGCCTCCACCCCTCCCACCTGCACGGCTTCAGAAAGTCTCTTTTCCCTGAACTTCAGGGTTCCTTTCTGTGAAATGTTGGGGATAGGACACGGACAGTAAATGGAGTCCCGCTGTCACTGCATCTTGGGCCCAGGCCCGTGGACTGGCTGTGTTGCATTGTCCTGTGAGCTGCCTAGCAGCTTGGGGCTGGGGCCTTTACCCGCTTCCCAAGTGATCTGAGGTGGGAGCCTTTGGTGTGTGTAGACAGTTGGTGACTAATGCGTGCCAGCCATGTTTTGCACGGGAAGGAGCTGAGTTTGTGATCAAAGGGAGCTGGATTCGAATCCTACCACTGCCACCACCAGGATCTGTGGTCGTGGGCAAATTGATCCCTCCCTTCAGGGACTCGGTTTTCTCATGACATTGCAAAGTTGCCGCAAGCATGACGTGGACAGCACTGGAGGTGTGCGCCCTCGCTCGCCTTCCTTTCCCAGGGGCCCAGAGGCACAGGACCTGGACAGGGTGGGAAGGAGCCCCGTGCACTGGGTGGCAGTTCCAGGACAGGATATTTGCATGTGACTCTTTGCTGCTGCTTCATGTGGCCGGGAGGAGGGGAGGAGGAAGTAACTTGTGGGGGGAGGCAGGCGGATGGAGGGTTGGGTGAGGGACCTGCGGGGGTGGGGAGGAGTTCCCCTTCTGGGCAGGCCTGGCCTCGGCTTGGGGGTGGGGGTCAGTTGCTCATACGTGGAGCAATGCCTGTGGGGTGTACTGCTGTGGGCTGCGAGTGCCGCTGGGAGGTTTCTCAATGGGTCCCTGCCCCACTTCCTTCTCCAGGCAGCCCAGGTCAGGGTGCCCTTTGAGGGACCTGCCCCCCACCCCGGAAGTCAGCTCTTGCCCCGCACCACCTTCCTTCACCCAGGCCACATGGAAACAAGGCTAGGAAACCCAGGGGGGGAAGCAGGCCAGGCAAGGGGAAGGGGTTGCCCAAGGTTGCCACCGAGTTGAGGGAGCTGAGGCCAAACCCTGCTGGCTGCTGCACACAGACCGTCCTTGCCCTGCTCACCCCCACGGCACCCCTACAGGTGGCGCTGGCCCTAGCAGAAACTGAGGGCTAGAGGGGGCAAGGGATAAGCGCAGAGTGTGAGCTGGACATTCAAACCCAGGAGTCCTCCCACCATTCTCACCCGGGCCACGGCCCACATCTGGCCAAATCAAGTGTTTTCTTGGCTTCAGTGGGGCTTTTCATTTTTTATTTAAAAATAAGCGGGAACCAACATATCATGACAGTCTAGATTTCCAGTTGCTTTTGAAGAAACTTGGATGAACTGGCCACACTGCAGCAGCACCCCTGCCCAGCAGCGATCCAGCCGTCAGTGGGGTCTTACTGCACTTGTTAGAAAACGCCTGCCCTGTCCAGTTTGCCGCACTCCCCACCACTCCCTGCTGTCTGCCATGGCCCACGTTTACTCTCACTGTTTGGCTCTGTAGGTATCTGAGCTGATCCTGGGGTCTCGGCAGCTACAGATGAGAAACAGACTTGGTAAAACAAGGCAGCATCAGACTGGCCCCATAGCTTAGTGGTAGAGGGAGCTACATCCCACGTAGCTGACTGCAGTTTGAATCCTGGCTCCGGGGACTTGGAAAACATACTGATCATGTATTAGTGGGTACTCAAAATCCCAACAGGATGGAGGAATGGAGGAGAGGGGATTACAGTTGTGACCATGCCCTGTGGTGGGGGGTGCTTTCTCCCTCTCTGTCTCTGTCTCCCTTTGCCTTTCTCTGGTGAGTGCATGAGCCCTTTGGCAATCAAAGCCAAAAACAAAAAACCCAGGCAGGCGTCAGGGCCAGGGCAGCCCTGGGGCGCGGGGACACTGCGTGCCGCCTGCCCACTACCTTCGTGGCTGAGCCTCTGCTAGCTCAGATGCAGGGCCTGGTGACCCGGGCGGCCCCAGCCCCACCCTCTTCAGGTGCACCCACGTGCCTGGGCTCTCCCTCTGGGCTGTGATTTGGGTGGTCGCCATCACTGGGTGCCCTCTGCTCTCTTCACCTGGGACGCCCCGCCTGGTGGGCAGCGGCTGAGGCGGGACCCCTGGCTGGAGACCCTCTGCGTCTGCTCCCTGCAGCGGCCTCTCCCAGTGGGAGCCCCTAGTAGGAGGGCCTGCGAGGACTGCGTGTTCAGGAACTCCAGTGCTGGCATGAGTGGAGCCCCGCGGGCCTCTGGCCACACTGGGCCGAGGAGAGGCCCAGCGGTGGCGGATGTGAGCCCAGCACGGATTGCTTCCACAGGTGGTGGCGGGAATCGCAAAGGCAAGAGCAAGAAATGGCGCCAGATGCTGCAGTTCCCCCACATCAGCCAGTGCGAGGAGCTGCGGCTCAGCCTCGGTGAGGCCTGGGCACAAGGCAGGGGCTGGGTGCCCAGGGAACCTCCCCTGAGACCTTGCCCTGTGGGGGGCGGCGCAGGGGCTCTGGGGAGCAGGAAGGTGGAGGCTGCACCTCCCAGCGGGTTTCAGTTCCTGGGCCTGGGATGGGTGGAGGGCAGAAGGTGCACAGGCACCACGCCGGCGTGGGGGTGAGTGGAGGAGGGCAGAGCAGACTGGGAGCGGTCTGAGAGGAGCCGAGGAAGGAGAGCAGGCCGAGGGCGGCAGGCCCACAGGACAGGGGACAGTGCGGAGAAGTCCATGGTGACTGCTTCCCTCCTCCCTCCAGCCGTGGGGCTGCCCAGCAGAGCCTGGACCAGAGCCCGCAGTCTGAGCATGCGACAGGGTGACTTGGGCAGGGACAGAGGGCCCAGGACCCCAGTTCCTGCTTGTCTTAGCTGAAGCCCACATCTGAGCAGCACCCACAGCTGTCCTGCCCCACCCCGTGGCTCACACGTGGGGGACAAAGAGTGGCTGCTCCCACCGCCTGGGAAGGAGGCCCAGCTGCGCACCGGAAGCCACAGCTTCCTCTGGCACTTTCGCCGGGCAGGCAGCAGGTGTGGGCTGGGGCCTCGCAGACCACACCCCACCCTGCACAGTGACATGGGCACATCCTATGAGCCCAGAGACCGACTTTGCTGTGTGACGCTGAGCTGGGCAGCTAACCCTCTCTGGGCTGCCCTGGCCCGGGCTCTGTGGGTAACAGTAATGCCCACCCGACCCTGAGGTGCGAGTGCTAAAGGAGGTGATGACAGCCACGCTGCAGGGCTAGGGGCTGTGCTGGGCCCGGAGCCTAGGGGCAGGGGCAGGAACTTGGCCAGTGGCTCCAGGTGTGCTGGCCCAGCAGCTCCCGCCTCTGCCCACAGAGCGTGACTACCACAGCCTGTGTGAGCGGCAGCCCATCGGGCGCCTGCTGTTCCGCGAGTTCTGTGCCACGAGGCCCGAGCTGACCCGCTGCGTCGCCTTCCTGGATGGGGTGGTGAGTGTAGCCCAGCTCCGGGCCCAGGCCCACACCGTGGGTGGGAGGAGGCCCCAACCACACAGTCTCCTCCAGACCCCGAGCCCCTGCCTCCCACCCTGCAGGCCGAGTACGAGGTGACCCCTGATGAGAAACGGAAGGCCTGTGGGCGGCGCCTCATGCAGAATTTTCTGAGCCACACGGTGAGCTAGCAGGGCTGGCGAGGGGACGCCAGTGGGCAGCTCGGTGACCACAGCCTGGCGTGGAGTGCCTTGGAGCGGGTCCAGGCAGCGCCGTGGGCAGAGAGCCCAGGGGCTGAGCTGTGCCCGCCCGGCAGCCTGCCTGCCAGCAGCCCTGCCTCGCCCTGTGTGTGGGGGTGGCAGCCGGAAGGGAGTGCAGGGTCAGGCGGGCTGGCCTACCCCGGCCTGCAGTGCCCTGCCCTCACCTGAGCCATCCGGCATTTCTGCCCTGAGCGTGGCAGCTGTCTAAGGGACCCCCTGCACTCACCTTCTGTGGCCTGTCCCCAGGGTCCTGACCTCATCCCTGAGGTCCCCCGGCAGCTGGTGACTAACTGCGCCCAGCGGCTGGAGCAGGGGCCCTGCAAAGACCTCTTCCAGGAGCTCACCCGGTAAGCCTCCCTGTGCTCAAGCCTGGATGGCGTTCAGGGGAGGGGACTTCTGTGGCCTGACGGCTGCAAACAGGCCAGCAAGGGCGTGCTGGCCTTGCCCCTGCGGTGTGACCGTGGAGCCCCCCCTCAGCTTCCTCATGGACTGCACACCCCCTGCCCAGCCAACCGGCCGAGGGTGATTCCCTGCGGCTGTATCTCGGCTCGGGAGGGCTGGCACACCTCGCCGAGCTGGTGGCGTTGACTGGCATGGGCCTCCCCTAGGCTGACCCACGAGTACCTGAGTGTGGCCCCTTTCGCCGACTACCTCGACAGCATCTACTTCAACCGTTTCCTGCAGTGGAAGTGGCTGGAAAGGTGAGTCCCCTGAGGCCAGGCCAGGCCGCTGGGGCCCCTCCTGGGCTGTGGCCCTGCTCAGCCAACGGTGGTCCCTGTCCCTTGCCTACAGGCAGCCAGTGACCAAAAATACCTTCAGACAATACCGAGTCCTGGGCAAAGGAGGCTTTGGGGAGGTGAGTGGGCAAGCCGGTGTGCTTGGCAGCATGCGTGGGCGGGCCGGGTGGGCTCTGGGTCAGCCCTGGACCTGGCGGGGCGGCTGTGCCCCTTTTCTCCTGTCTGCCCCAGGTGTGTGCCTGCCAGGTGCGGGCCACAGGCAAGATGTACGCTTGCAAGAAGCTGGAGAAGAAGCGGATCAAGAAGCGGAAAGGGGAGGCCATGGCGCTCAATGAGAAGCAGATCCTGGAGAAAGTGAACAGTAGGTTTGTAGTAAGTACAGAGCAGACTCGCCCCTGCCACACCGGCTCGCTCTGCCCTGTCGTCCACCCTCCACGGGTCAGCTCTGCCCAGCCCGCCTCACTCCCTCAAGGCACCGCCTCGCCATCCTGGGTGATGCCCAGGAAGGGCAGGTCTGGGTTGACGCCAAGCCTGAGGAAAAGGAGTGGACTGGAGAAGGGTTTTGGGGTAGCCGGCACGTGGTGGCCCTGAAGCCCCTGGCTGAGGGCGCGGGTCCCTTGGCCGCAGGTGAGCTTGGCCTATGCCTACGAGACCAAGGACGCGCTGTGCCTCGTGCTGACGCTGATGAACGGGGGCGACCTCAAGTTCCACATCTACCACATGGGCCAGGCCGGCTTCCCCGAGGCTCGGGCCGTCTTCTACGCTGCCGAGATCTGCTGTGGCCTGGAGGACCTGCACCGGGAACGCATTGTGTACAGGTGGGCAGGGGCGGGTTCCTGCACGCTGCGGCTGGACGTGGGGGGAGGCTGGCCTACAGCAGGACCGTGGGCTAGGGCTGCCCCTGCAAGCCGGTGTTGGCTCGGGGCCCAGCACTGCCCCACAGGAGGAGCTGGGGTCTGGTGGCCCGTGTGTGAGTCTAACCGTCACTGGAGTCCGGTCAGCTCAGCACGCAGCTGCCAGCATTCCTTCCGAAGCAGAGGCTGACCGTAACTCTGCCTTTGCTGTGTCAGGGCTGAACATGATCACCTGACAGCCAGAGTCCGGGCCCTGAGCCGGCCCCGGGGGCTCAGAGGGGCAGTGATCGGGCCTGGTAAGATTGCGATAGCTGTGACTTCCCAGCCCCGAAGGGGAGGACCGGTCACCCCCTTTGATAGGAGGAAAGGCAGAGTCAGTCACCAAGGGGCAGGAGCTCCTGGACACCGTGGTGAACGAAGCTGCCAGGGACATCCCAGGAGTTTCCTGGTGGGAGCCGCTTGCTCGCTGTGGGAGTCCTGGGCAGCCAGGCCCCAGGGACCCTTCCTCTGCTCTCTCAAGTCGGCTGCTGCCGGGGAGGGCAGGGCTGCCTGTCACCCTGCAGCAAGTGGGCGCCATGTGCTGGGAGGCGCCGGCCCTGCCTGGCTCTCTGGCAGGTGGAGCCATGCCAAGCCTGCCCTCTCCCCACAGGGACCTGAAGCCGGAGAACATCCTGCTGGACGACCACGGTGGGTAGGGCCTGGGGGCTGGGCCGGGGAGATAGATGGCTCAGCCTGTGTGCAGACTCACCTGCCTCTGTCCACCTGCAGGCCACATTCGTATCTCAGACCTGGGACTGGCTGTACACGTGCCTGAGGGCCAGACCATCAAGGGCCGCGTGGGCACTGTGGGCTACATGGGTGAGTCCCCCTGACCCGCCACCAACATGCTGGGCCCCTCACCATCCTGGGCCCAGCCCCACCCACTTCTGCCTGGGAACCTTGTGCCTCCCGCAGACCGGGTTCCTTGGTTATCGTTAGAATTCTAAGGCTCAGCCAGGGCCCCGCACAGCAGTGGGCCCACCCTGTCCATGCACTGCCCTTTGAGGGCTTGCCCTGACTGGGCTTACAGGTCGCTACCAGCGGATGGAGGGAGAGGGATGAAACCCACTTCTGGGGCTGGCTCTGCTCTTCCAGGGACTGCACATGCTGAGTAGGCATGCCTTTCTGCAGTGGCCACGAGGGGCCGTACTCCCCTAGAGACCCAGCAGAGCAGAGCTGAGTGGGTCTCACCTGCCTTCTGTGTGGCCTTGGGCCACTTCACTTCTGAAGCCTCTCTTTGCTCAACCACGAAAGGATCCATCCCTGCCCCCTGGGGTTGCCCCGGGGATGGAGGGAGCATAGAGGGGAAGCCCTACAGGCCTGCCATGGCAGGGAGGAGGCCATCAGTGGACTGAAGTTCCTCCTTTCTTCTCTCTCTCTCTCTCTCTCTCTCTCGTTAAATCCAGAAGTTGCAACTGGCAGCCACATGGGCCCAACTTGGCCTATGGCTGTGCTTAACCGAATTGTTTTTAGAACAGTTTGAGTCAGTTGCCAACATTTATAAGCTGGACAGCTTCACACACAGAACAGGGATTTCTGGCTTCTCTTGAACAACCTGGGGGGCCTGGGTGTGGCCCCTGTGGGGCCTCAGCTCCCTCTGATGGGGCCTGTGCCCTCCTGCTTGCTGAGGTCCCCACCACACCCTGACTGCCTTTTAAGTTGTCCCCGACTTTATGTGCGCTGGACGCAGAGGCCCTGTTCCTGCCTCCCGCCAGCCCTGACGGCTCGCTCCCCCAGCTCCCGAGGTGGTGAAGAACGAGCGCTACACATTCAGCCCCGACTGGTGGGCCCTGGGCTGCCTCCTGTACGAGATGATCGCGGGCCAGTCGCCCTTCCAGCAGAGGAGGAAGAAGATCAAGCGGGAGGAGGTGGAGCGGCTGGTGAGGGAGGTGCCGGAGGAGTACTCTGAGCGCTTCTCCTCGCAGGCCCGCTCGCTCTGCTCCCAGGTAGGGCAAGCCAACGCCACGGCCTTAGGGGAGGGGATGGGGCCACCCCGCTGCTCACTCACCTAGCCCCCGCCAAGAGCACCCTGACTGCTCTGTCCTCCAGCTCCTCTGCAAGGACCCTGCCGAGCGCCTGGGGTGTCGTGGGGGCAGTGCCCGAGAGGTGAAGGAGCACCCCCTCTTTAAGAAGCTGAACTTCAAGCGGCTGGGAGCGGGCATGCTGGAGCCGCCCTTTAAGCCTGATGTGAGTGCTGCTGGCTCCCCGGGGCGGGGCCTGACTCCCAGGGGGCGGGGCCTGGAATGTTGGCCAGACACCCTGGTGCAGGTGTCAGAGAACTCAGTCTAAGGGCTTAGCCCGGGAGAGGAGGAAAAAGATAACTCACTGGGCTCACTCAAATGAAAAGCCTGGGGGCCAGTGGATGGTGTAGAGGGTAAGGCAGCAGGATCCCACATGCCAACATTTGCAGTTTGAATCCTGGGCCCAGCGACTTGAAAATTATGCATGTGCTCGTGCCCAGAATCCCGAAAGGAGAGTGGAGGAGAAGGGACTGTGGCATGACCATCCCATGGGGGGAGGTGATTTCTCACTTTCCTCATTTGTCTCTCTCCAGCAAATACGTGCTCCCCGTAGCAAACTAAAAACCAAATGTAAAGCCCCAGGACAGGCCTAGCTTCTGACATACCCAGATCTGGTTCACATCCCGGACCAGGTGGCTTAAAACTCACGCGTGTGCGTGCGTGCCCAAGATCCCGAGAGGAGAATGGAGGAGAAGGGATTGCGGCGTGGCCATCCCCTCTGGGGGGCGATTTCTCGCTTTCTGTCTCTGTCTCTCTCTGTCTGGCGAGCGCACACGCCCTATAGCGAAAACCTCTCCAAAAAAAAAAAAAAAGAGTGTGGCTTTCTGCAGCCAAGATGGCCTTAGCACTCAGGTCCAGGGAGGTGAGAGACCAGGCCCCTTCCAGTCCTGTGATTGGGTGTGAAATTGGGGATGGGACAAGCCACAGGCCACCATAGGCCTGGGGCCCATCAGTTCCAGGCCTGCATGGGGTGCCAATCTCGGGCCTGCTGAGAGTCAGTCTGCCTTCCTCACTGCTGCACGTCCACATGGCGTGGGTAGGTGGAGGGAGCCCCGCTTCAGGCCTGGCTGCTGCCTGCCCCTGCCCTCAGCCAGCCAGAGTGTGCCGAGAGACCTCGGGACGTGAACCCGGACTGCCCGTGTGGTTCACACTGCAGAGTGCCGCGGCTGGCTGGGCCTTTGCACGGCCTCACTCTGTCACCGCAGTGAGCAATCAAGGTCCCAGTGTACAGAGGGGAGGAGGGGCTACAGAGAGGAGGGCCGCCCCTCTATGGAAGTGCCTGTGCATTTCCTGTCTGACCCCGTGCCCTCTGTCCCTGCAGCCCCAGGCCATTTACTGCAAGGACGTCCTGGACATCGAGCAGTTCTCCACGGTCAAGGGTGTGGAGCTGGAGCCCGCCGACCAGGACTTCTACCAGAAGTTTGCCACGGGCAGCGTGCCCATTCCCTGGCAGAATGAGGTGGGCCTGCCTCATGGGCAGCTGGGCTCTGGGGTGGCCCTGGGGACAGCTTCCACAGCGGCCTGTTCCTCTGTAGATGGTGGAGACTGAGTGCTTCCAGGAGCTGAATGTCTTTGGGCTGGATGGCTCTGTGCCCCCAGACCTGGACTGGAAAGGCCAGCCTCCTGCGCCCCCCAAGAAGGGACTGCTGCAGAGACTCTTCAGCCGCCAGGTAGCCCCAGTGTCCTGCCAGGCTCTGCCTGGCTCCAGGGAATGGTGGGTTGGGGTGGAGCTGGTGCCCAAGTGCCTGGGGGTGGGCATCCTCTAGTCCTGCCCATGGCGCCTAGGGCCTTTGGCCTCCTTCCCACCTGGCTCCCGGCCCTGGCTCGGCTCACGGCCTCTTTTCTCTTTCCAGAGGTGAGCAGTGTGGCTCCCCGTGGGTTGGCCTTGCTGCCTGGCCTCGGGGAGCCACAGGCAGCCCTTCCATGGCAGAGGCGAGATGTGGGAGAAAGAAGTCTGGTGCCCGTCCCCCCTTCCCACTGCTCTGTCCCCTGCACCCTGCCCCTTGAGCTGCCAACCTTGCTTAGCTGTCCCGATGCCCTGCCGCCACCAGCCAGAGGAGCAAGGGGCTGGACAGAGGCTTTGTCCTGGGAGAGCCTGGGACCTGCCTTGTCCCCTCTTACTTCCGTCTGTTGCCAGCAGCCTCTGCACTGACGCCCACCCATGTGTGGCCTGAGCCGCTGCTCCAGGCCCTCATGGAAGTCCCTCCCCAGGGTGTGCCTGGAGGGCCGGCCCTGCGTGAGCGGCTGGTGGCTAATAGCACCCGCTCTGCCTCTCTCCCTCCGTGTCTCCCCCATCCTCCAGGATTGCTGTGGGAACTGCAGCGACAGTGAGGAGGAGCTCCCCACCCGCCTCGAGCTCCCCACCCGCCTCGAGCTCCCCACCCGCCTCGAGCTCCCCACCCGCCTCGAGCTCCCCACCCGCCTCGAGCTCCCCACCCGCCTCGAGCTCCCCACCCGCCTCGAGCTCCCCACCCGCCTCGAGCTCCCCACCCGCCTCGAGCTCCCCACCCGCCTCGAGCTCCCCACCCGCCTCGAGCTCCCCACCCGCCTCGAGCTCCCCACCCGCCTCGAGCTCCCCACCCGCCTCGAGCTCCCCACCCGCCTCGAGCTCCCCACCCGCCTCGAGCTCCCCACCCGCCTCGAGCTCCCCACCCGCCTCGAGCTCCCCACCCGCCTCGAGCTCCCCACCCGCCTCGAGCTCCCCACCCGCCTCGAGCTCCCCACCCGCCTCGAGCTCCCCACCCGCCTCGAGCTCCCCACCCGCCTCGAGCTCCCCACCCGCCTCGAGCTCCCCACCCGCCTCGAGCTCCCCACCCGCCTCGAGCTCCCCACCCGCCTCGAGCTCCCCACCCGCCTCTAGCCCCCAGACTGAGGCCCCCATCGGCGGCTGGCGGTAGCAGCTACTCCGAGTGCTGTTTACAGTTTTGCACAGTGGTCTTCCCCTTTGTCCGCCCCAGTCGTGGCCTGGGGGACACAGCTGGAACTGTCCCCAGTGCCCCAGGGTCCTCCACCCCTCAGCTCCTGCCCGGCTGAGTTGGGCAGGGCCTGGGCCATTCTGGGACAAAGGTGCGTCCCTCCAGCTCCTCCCGGAGCTCGAGGCTTTCTGTATATTTATGTATTTGTACGAATGTATATAGCGGCCAGAGCGTCAACGCCCACCCAGACCTGGCACAGCCTCAGCTTCCTGGGGCAGCTGCCCTGGCTAGGCAAGACTGGAGCTGGAGAGGGGCCTCTGCCAAACCCAGGGCTTCTCGGGCGTGGCTCGGGTGGGCCGAAGCTGGGCCGGGCAGACCCCAAAGCCCCCAGCCTGGTGCAGGCTACCACCGGCCTCTGAGAGACTCGTGCCTGCCCCTGCACTGTGGGCTCCGCTGCCACCTGGGCCGATGCTGTCCCTTCACCATGCTTATCAGGGCTGGATCTGGGGTTTCTGCGACCCCTAGGCCTGTGCCAAAATGTGGCCAGAGATCGGGCTGACCGTGGGACCCATCGGTCCACTGCCCAGGCTGTCCCCGACGGGTCCGCCTCTGCCTTTCAGCTCCCAGGACACCTTGCCCCATGTGCCGGGCCCTCCTGAAGACACCGCTTTCCAAAATGCCTCAGCCCAGGCCACATGGCCAACCCTCAGACATTCCAGTCTCCCCTGACAGTAGACACACGTGCCCAGCAATAATCTGCCCCTCCACGTGTGTGCCTGCAGGGTGTGTGTGCGTGTGTGTGCATCTGCGTGTGTGAAGGGGGTCGGTGAGGCTGTCCCAGCCCTGCCCTTCTCAGACTGATGGCCATCCTGGGCCGGTGGTAGAGTTGCGTGGGATTGCAGGGCCCTGGTTTTCCATATTTAAAGCCAGTTTTTATTACTCATGTTGTCCAGTGTAAGCTGCCACGTGTCTGTGAATACAGCCCGAGCACAAACCCAGCCAGACGCCCCCGCCTGCCTCTTTCTTGCCTCTGGTGCTCCAAGGCTTTGCTGCTTCCCTGACCCAGCTGAAGTGGGAGGGTCGAAGGTTGCCCTGAGGGGTAGGAGGTCACCTTTCCCCGTGGCTGGCCTTGGGGTAGTCTCCAGGCTCCCAGGCCTTATGGTCTTAGTGACCATGATTGCTAAATGCGGACTGCCCAAGAAAGCAAGCTTGGGTACCCACGGGTGTAAGTCAGAACGCTGGAAAGGCAGGCCCGGCTCACCTTCCCCTGCAAGGCCAAGGTGGCCGGGCTGTCAAATGTGAACTTGGAGCAACCTGTGAGGCAAGGTAGGAGGTGCTCTTAGGAACACCTGCCCCAGGTCTGTCTCACCTGGACACCTGCCGTGCCCCTGGGGCTGGGCTGGCCTGGGTTGGTGCATGTGCGAGGGGCTGTTTCCTCGGTTTGCCCTTGAAGCATGCATGCAGATGGGCAGGGACCTGGCCAGTGCTGAGAACAGGAGGAAGGCCCATCGGGGCAGGGAGGGACCAAGCACCTGGTTATCCGGGTTCTCCGAATAGGGGTTGAGCCAGGCCTTGCTGTTCACCTTGAGTTGTGGCGGGGGGGTTGGGATGAACATTCCAGGGGGACTGCAGTTCTTTCCCAGACCTAGCAACCCCACTGCTGGTCTGCAGCCTCCCAGGGCCCCAGAACACTGTTACGGCCGTCCAGGTTGGCTCCCTTGCCTCTGGGTTAGGGTTGGGGACTGCTGCAGAAGCCCAGGAGCTTTGCAGCTGACCTCCGGGTTCTGGTGACTTCCCATGTCTGGGAGGGAGAGTGATGCCTCACCTTGCAGGGCAGCTAAGAGAATCTCCCTGGCAACCAGTCAGCCCTGTTAGGTATCCGCAGGACTCCGCGGCTGGGGGGGGGTTGGGGGCCAGGCCAGCCGCTCTCTTGGTGCCCCGTTTTGGCCAGCTCCTAACGTGCAGAGTGCACTCGGCCTCCAGCAGCTAGTGGGGAATGGTAGCCTGGGGAAGCTTGTCCACGGTCTTCGATGGATAGGGACCATTGAGGGCAGAGAAGCCGTGTAAAGATGGAGACACCGGCCCGCCTTAGGCGTGGTCTAGGCCTCTCTGCTCCAGGCTTGGGGGTGCAAGGTGAGTGTCAGGTAACAGCATACAGAGGCCAAGGCCCACCCCTGGGCCAGTGTCGAGAGCTAGCAGGTGCCTCGTGGACATGTGGGTCCTGGCACACCTCGTTCCCCTGGGGCCAGCAGGCATCCAGAGGGCTTCTTAGCTAGGGTTGGGCTCACCTTGAAGCTCCTGCACCACATTCCACATGGACTCTTGGCATAGAAAGCTCCCAGAATCCTCTAAACTCACCTCCCCACCCCGCTCTGGTGGGAGCTGGGGACCCAGATGGAGATGAGGGCCTGCCAGCTTGGAGCTGTCTGGTTGGGAGGCAGATGGGGGAAGTGGGACCCGGTGTGATGAGCGGGCAGGGTTTTAGAACTGGCAGGGCCAGGCGTGGAGGCAGCAGCGGCAGAGGAAGCCCTTGGCCACGAAGGTGCCGGGTTGGTGCCCCTGGGTGTAGGACCAGCAGTGCCCAGGGATGGTCTGGAGTGTGGGCGGCTGAGCCTGGAGGAAGGGAGTGGCAGTCAGGGCAGTGCGGTGTAGCCAGCTTTGGAAGCCATGGGGGGTTCTTGAAGGTGGGGACTCCAGGAGGGTTTTGACTGGTTGTGCCAGGGCGTCTGCCTTGGCATCTACAAAAGTCCTTTGGAGAAGTCTACCCCACTGACCAGGTGGGGCTGGGCCCACACTCGTGTCTGTGTAAACCACACACCTAGAATATATGAGCAGGTTAGAATGGCACAAGGGACAGGACTGCCCTGCTCATTCAGTGTTACTGCCTGTGAGGGCACAGAGGGAGGGACAACTGGGGCAGCTCCCAGGTCTCGGCCTTGGACCCTGTGCCAGGCCCACCACTAGTGGCAGGAGACTACACAGTTCACATGTTTGCATCCTTGAACTGAACTCCAAACCCAGAGTCTGAACAGCCAGGCTGCGGTTCACAGCCCACCGCTGGCTCCCAGGGGGACGAGCCATCCCCCCTAAGTCAGGGTGCTCATACCCAAAATGGGGACTGAATCCTGGGTGCCACCCTCTGACAGTACAGAACACACCCCATTCCACACCTGGGGTCGGTTCCCCAGTAGGATGGTCAGCCACAGGAGTCCGAAAGGAGGCCTCAGTAGGGTTTTTGTTTGCTAGTTAGCGTGTGCAAACAGCTGGCAGCGGCGGGGCTCTCTCCTTAGGCTGGATGGCGGGATTCAAGCCTGGAGCTGCGGGGCTCACCGCATCCCCACTTGGGGAGAACCCACCCAAGAACGAGTCAACACAGACCAAAGCTGGGGGGCAAAGCAGGTGCCTGCCACTGCGGGCCACCTGGAGCTCAGAGCTCCAGTCCACACTGGCCTTACCAGGTCCCTTTGGGCAAAGCTTGTTCGTTTTAGGGTTCTGTCTCTTGCAACCCAAGCTGAGATGGTGGTGGGTGTTTTTGGAAGACCACCCTAAATTTGGTAGAGGAGTTGGGCTGGAAACAGGACCTAGTGAAGGGGCCAGATAGCCAGGTTCAGGGAGCCTTGGTAAACCTGCGCCCACTCCAAGGCTCTTCTGCTTCCCGAGGGGAGTGTGTACTGGGGCCCGGGCTGTGGACTAGACGCGAGGTCTCCTCCCTGTGCTACTCCCAGGAGGCATATGGTAGCATGCCTGCTGGGGACACAGTGGGAAGGAGCCGCCTTGACCTGCCGGCTCAACCCCTGCCCGCTGCCAGCTGCGTGTGCGGGGTATCCGTCAGGATGTGAGCAGGGCCTGGACACGTGTGCGCTCTCCAGACCGAGCTGTGTGTGTGCCAGGTTCTCGCCCTCCGCTGCTTGGCCAAGCGGCCGGCGGTCAGCATCCCGCGTGCACCGCCGCGGAGTGCGCGGGTCTGCCGGCGCGTCGGGCCGCCCAGCCCGTGGGCAGCTGCTGTGCGGCCGCGCACTCCCGCGCAGGG